CTGGCCTCACAGGTGCCGAAAGAGACCGGGAAAGGGACAGACAGCACTGTGCTCATGCCACCCAGTGGCCAAACCAGTGGGGAACCTCAGGGCTCCCAACTGCCACCCCCAAGTCCTTTCCATTACCCAGCGACACATCAGGATCATCTACTTCTGGCTAATGAGAACACTGGCTTTCCCTCAGCAGACTAGGGACAGAGGGTTCACTGGATGTAGGAACTGGGATGGCTGTGCCACCCCTTCTGCTGTCACTGACTAAGAAGTAGGAAGGAGATAGCACATGAAAGAGAGGGGGACATGAGCCCCACCTTCTAGGCCATTCTGCTCTCCTGGTACAGCAAGAAAATCCACCATTCCAGGTGCTACCATTCACGTTACAGAGGGGAGGCCGTGGGTGCTGAAGCAAGCACGCAGCAGCTGGGGCTCCCCACCTGGCCTCCAGCCTCCTGCCACCTCCTGCTCTTCTCCCCACCACAGCCAGACCCATCTTTCTGAGATCTCCATAGCAGATGAATCAAGTCCCACCTGGCCTCCCCCTCTGCCCTCGGCCTCCCCTCACTCACACACACTGTCACTCCGTCCCCTTCCCGCCCGCTCTCCTGCCTTGTCTGGGTAAGCAGCTGCTCAGCTCAGGGCCACCTCCTCCACGAAGCTTCTTCTGACAGTTCCTGCTCCCAAGGCTGACCCAGCCACTCCTCCACATCTCTCTGTGTCCTCACTGTGCCCCTCACACGTCTCAGATGCAGCATCTCCGGTGCTCTTCTGCGATTAACGCACACGTTTGCAGACTGGAAGCTCACTGTGGACAGACCTGAGCCCCAGTACCTGGCATGAAGCAAGACAGGCTGTGGCACTGTGCTATAGAGGAAACACCTTCATTTCCTTTGACACGCTGTATGTGATTCCCCATACTTTTAAGTGCAGGTTCCCCTTCACTGTGCTTTTCATACTTCAGACTACTTCAGGCCAAGTTTTCAGTTGCTGCTTCTCTCAAGAACACCAGAATATTCAGATGCATACCAAGGAACTTCTGGGTCGGCAGTGTGTTTAAGGCAGCACTGACAGGACCTAGCTTATTTCAGGACCATGTTTTCTGGGGCAAGGAACCACAGAATCTGATGCATCAGAAATGCTCACTAAACATCTAATGAATGAGTGGACTCAAACCTGGTCCACCCCACACCCCATGTGATCTACTGAGACACCCTGGGGGCCAAAGAATGGGGCTAGGCGAACTCTAGGATGGGGCTTCAAAGGCTCCTTAGGAGCCAGAAGGATGCCATTAGCATCTCCACCTTCTCTTTATCAAAGGGAAAATGCTCTGCTCAACATCATCTGTGTGTTATTACTACCCAAATTGTTTAATCTGACTCTGTGAGGAATAAAATCAAGCAAATCCAAGCTGAGAACACTGCAATAAAATCCGACCTGGACTCTTCAACATCACTGCCATTTAAAAAAAAAAAAAAAGGAGGGGAGGGAGAATTTTCCAGATTAAAGGACACTAAAGTGACATGATAAAATGTAAAATGATCCTGAATTTTCAGAAAAATGGTTATAAAGGGCATAATTGGGACAATTCAGGAAAATTTTACTACGGGCTGTATATGAAATAGTACTGTACCAATGC